ACGGAAAAAAAAAAAAAAAAATATTAAAAAAATAAAATAAAATAAAAAATAAAATAAAAATAAAATAAATCAAAAAATAAAAATAATTAAATATAAAATAATAAATTCAATCTTTCAAGTCTTAAATAAAATTATTTTTACAAACTTATTCTTTTGAATAAATTACTATTAGTTATATATTTATAGAAATGAATTATTTGAATTTTTGAATTTCTTATAAATTATTTAATCTATAAAATAAAATGAAAATAAAATGAAAATAAAATGAAAATAATAACTATTCAATAGTATTAAAAACTCAATTATATAATTAATATAAGTTTGCATTTAAAACAAATAACAAGCTAATATATAATAAAAAGGTAAGCTATATTAGCCTAATAGCAAATTAAAAAAAAAAATAAACTAAAAATAAAAAATCTGAATTATTATAATATTTTATTTTTTAGATTTATTTGCACTGTTGTAATAAAAAAATTTAGATTTATTATGATTTAGAACTGATACTCAAGTCAACCAGAAGACTCAAAAGAAAATAAATGTTTAAAAATTTAAATATACTGTATACTGTATACCACCCAGGATTACGTATGTCGATTATCAAATATACTGCATTTAGAAATCATATTTGCATTCTCGAGAATTTCACCGAAAATTAAGATGTCGAGTGGAATACAACAGGCCTCGCAACTTTATAACACTCTCAAGACTGAATTTGGCTCTCGGAACGCCAATCTAGAGAAATGTGGCAATTACTTAGCAAAACTAAAGGTTTGTTCGTTTACACTTTGGGATTTGTTTAGGCCCATATTACTAACTTTGTTAATTACGCTTTTAGATCGCCTTGTCAGAAATGAATCTTTTACTTCCAGAAGGAAAGATTATTAACGCGGAAGAGTTACTTGTGGCGCGTATGTTAATTCTTGTTGGGAATGGAATCAGAAAATGATCTTTTTTTTATTGAATTACTGCGTATAAATTCGTGAATTAGGAGATATCTTAGAAATTGGAGCATTATGGAGTGTTCGCGTCAAGGATATACCATCTTTCGAAAGATATATAGCGCAGCTGAATACATATTATACCGATTACAGGTATGTTTATTGGCATCTAATTGTTATTGTCGTTTACAAGAATCAAATGATTCTTAATTTATAATTGTGAACCAAACCAAATATTTTACAAAAGTTCATTACTCCCACCCTCACATCAAATGTATCCTTTGATGGGATTGAATCTTCTTCGTTTACTTTCTCAAAATCGTATTGCTGAATTTCACACGGCATTGGAGAATATTGAGCCCGAACAACTTCTGGAGAACCCTTATATCAAACACCCAGTTCACTTAGAACAATATCTAATGGAAGGGAGTTATAATAAAGTTTGGAACTCTAGAGAACAAGTGCCTGCCCCCGATTATCTTTTCTTCATCGACATTTTGATGGGAACTATCAGGTGCATATTACTTGTTTTCTTTAGCAAAGTTATTATGATTAGAAGTCTGAAATTTCTTCAAATATACATAATCAAGGAATGAAATCGCAAGCTGTAGTGAAAAAGCATACGCAAGCCTGCCGTTAGCCGACGCAGCCACGCTATTATTCTTTAATAATCTTCACGAAGTTTTAACTTTTGCCAGAGAGGTGAAGACCGATTAGAACTCTTAATCCATATTTATATACTCACCTTTCTTTTATTTTCAGCGCGAATGGAATGTTGAACCAGCAGAGAAGAAAATATATTTCACAACAAAGGATGACAATCACATCGAGATACCCCACGACATCATTATCAAACAAGCACTCCATTATGCACAAGATTTGGAACAGATTGTATAGAAAAAGTTTTTGTTTCAATATTATGAGGTTTCACGCTACTCAGCTTGATTTGTGATATGTATTTAAAATAAGGTCGTTTTACATATGTTTTTTTTAAAAAGACAACATTGATAAAATAAAATAAAATTGATCCCATCATTATTCCATTTGGTGAATACATATATTCCAATTTTCATGTTATAATAAAGTACCAGAATTTAACAAGAAACTTTTCTTTTACTCAATTCATTAAAATTTAATAAGTACTTGCAAGATGAACAATTGACATTTTTTATCTTTACACCTTAAAGCCACGGGATGCACGACGACCACGAGCTTTCTCAAATTTTCTACCCTTGGATCGAATATACGGTCTTAAAAAAGTCGAAAAAAATTTTTTTTTCGTTATTAAATGAATATAAATAAGAAAATATACAATGTTACTTACTTAGCATGCTTGTGGGGTCCCATGCCAAAATGTTTAACTGCCTCTCGAGCATTTTTAGGACCTCTTAGCAAGATAGTGTTAGAACCGGTAGGAGAACGTAAGGCCAACTGATCGAGGGTGATAACCTCGCCACCAGCCTTTAAAATCCTAGCCTTAGCAGTCTTTGTGACTCGAAGCGCGGCAACAGAGATTTTGGGAACGTCTAGTACCCTGTTATCATCTGTGACGGTGCCAACGACCACAACAGTCTTGTCGGGGTGTTTAGACACATTGCGCAAAATACGGGAGATAGAGATTGGTGGGCGATTTACGCGTGACATAAAGAGACGTTTCAAAACGACTTTGTTGAATCTTGAATTCGTTCGTCGGGCTAGGAAACGATAAAGCTTGCAGCGCAATTTTCAAATTAATAAATAGAGAAAAATCGAGCATGTCAAATGAAATAGATTGTATACCTTCACCAACAATCGGAGGTACACATCTTCGCTCTTTGGAGCAGTCCGGTTCTTATTCTTTACGTGATGCTTTTTGATGTCAATACCCTGATAAATAGTAACGACATTTGTCAGAATATGTACTATTCACATTAAGACATCCATAAATTTAATCTTGAATCCTTTTTATTGCGCAGGTCAAGGTTCTTTTGCTTGGATTTGTAAAGATAAAGGTAAAGAAAATGCATCAACTAATTATTTTCTTTCAAGATCCTTGTCTATTCCTGGAGAAAATTTTCATGAACATGTAACAAACGATCTTGTTTCATCTATCTGCATAAACTGCACAAAAAAATAATTTTCCTTTCATAGTTCATATAGACATAATCTCATTATCTCTACTTAATAGTAAGGGCAAAAAGAAATCGTACCATTTCGATTGATCAATTCCTCGGTGAATTAAAAGAGAAGGATTTTTTTATTAAAAAAATTACTTATTTTATGTCGCACAAAGTTACACGGATCAGATTCACGTGAAATTCATCTTATTTATAAATATTTTATAACGCTGGCTGAGCCAAAACTTTATTGAGAAATTCTTACATGAAGTGGAAAAAACAGAGTTTCTCTAGAATCGTATATAAGAAATATTTGAACAAATAAAGTATTACAATAAAAGAGCTCCTTCGTGGTGAATTTATCTTGTGGCCTAGCCACCTTCTAAAGAAAGAGAACTAGTCTAAGGTCTAACTAATGCTAAAAAAAAATTTTAAAACTATACAAATTATCAGATAATTGATATAAATTTTTTACATTTGCCAACCATTTACCAAAGATCAATGTTGCCAATCCAATGTCCTGTAAATTATTCACTGGAATGCTATGTTTCTTCATCTTTAGATAGAAGTAAGGTAAAAGAAAAGGGAAGGGATTACTTATTCAAAGATCTAATGGATCCTATGTTCACAAAAATACTTTAAAACCTTTGATGGGATTGATAAATCCAGTCCTATAGGTAATATCATTTTCAAGCATATACTATTTATTTAAAAGGGCACAAAATCTCTAAAAGTAGATTAAACCTAGTGAGATTTTTCTATTTTGATAATTATTTTTAACTAATACTCTCATTGCAAGTATGAATTATGGATATCACTGATAGCTTTAAAGCCTTTCTTAAGGATGGAGTTCATTAAAAACCTTAGTATAAAACTTTGATTTGTGGTTTTCCAGCAGATTATAAATCAGAAATAAAAAATCCACTGGTTGGAAAAAACTTTTTGTTCACCTTATTTGTTTTTTAGAAAAGAAAATAGATTTTTACCTATTTATGAAAGCAAGTAAAACCTACTTAACTATCAAGGATAGGTGGCTTCAATTCTAAAAATAATTGAAGTATCTTGTGACCTTTATAATGGTCAGATGGACTTTTTTCTATTTTCTAAGATATACTGGGTACTATGTCCTATATCTACCTACATAAAATTAATAATAACTCATGATAAACCTTAGATTCTTATAGAACTAAGGAAATAAATTCAGACATGTGAGATAACCAATAAGGGCTTGTTTATATCTTGGGTTACAGATGTGTTTTTATTATTCAATTATTGCACTAAAAACTTTGTATTACTCAAAAATCAGAGTCAAGCTGAAGTAGGTAAAATCCTTCAGAGAAAATCATAAAAGAGCATTCTTAAAGTCTCTATAATGACAAGAGAGTAATGGGTTGTCTTCTAAAAAGTTTCTCATCATAAATTAAGCTCTATAGTATTTTTATAGTATATAAAAGGGGATGAAGAGATCAGGTCTACTTCCTTTTAAAACTTTCTTATCATTGATAAGAAGAATATAAGTTGTCTTTTTGGCTACTATAAGACAAGTTTTTTATAGTAAGATATAAAAAAAAGTAATGAGGATTATAAGGTAACTCTTGATAATCTTATTCTCAATTTAATTTAAAGAAAGTGATAAGACTTTATTAGCCTTGAAGTATAAAACTTCTTGTAACATCTTTTTTGTGTATAATTAAAGGATTAGTGAAAATATCAATAAATATTCATTGATATTTATAAATATTATCTTTATTAATTAAAAATTAAACTTTTTTTAATTATAACTAGTATTACAAGTCATATATTATTATATCTATATAAATTAATGATAATCTATTTAGGTAAGTTCAAAATCACTTCTAAAAATAAATAAACTTGATTAAACATAAATAATAATTTTATTATAATTTTATTTTTAATTGATTTAATTAAAATTTTTTTTCTCTGTCAGATTATGTATATATATATTTTTTTTGAAACGAAAGCTCAACCATGTTTATTAACTTTGATAATATAATATACAAATTAATATAGAAATTATAAAGGTTGTTATGTGGAGCCATATATTATTTATGTCAATAAAACCCTCTAAAACCTGATCTTTAATGGATTTACTGGATGGCTTGTTGCCCAGAGATATCCAGTTGGATTAAATTTCTACTACTACTACTATCTAGAAAAAAACTAAATGCTTCTTATTGAATCTTCAATCCTTCTGGAGTCCTCACAACTAACATACCATGGTGGACTTGCTAGTTCCAAGAAAGGAGAAGTACACCTTTCTTTTGATCCTGGTAATTATGGCCTATCACCAATTACCGAAAGTGTTCAGAGAAAGAGTGTGAGTTCGATAGTATTTTGTATTATACAAGAGTAAAAAAACCATTTAGATCAGAATGGAAAAACCCTGAAATAATTTTTAGAATAGAAGAATAGTTGTGTCTTTGAGAATAGTGTGAGTTCTTGAAATTCTATTTCAATAGAAAAGGTACTCATTCCATAGTCATGATACTTTCGGATAACAATAAGAGAGAGAAGACCACAGTCCATGTAATATTTATTCACCTACACTTCTAATCAATGACTTATAATAGACCTAAGATTCTTATAGAGCTTAGGAAATATATTCATATTACATGTCACATGTATTCTTGTTTATATTTCTGCTAACCATGAAGCATCCAATCCAATCTTTAGCCAATCAATCCATCCAAAATCCAGTATAACAGAAAATTCAGGGTCAAGCTAGGGTAGACAAAATCCTTCAGAAAAACCAAGAAAGGATCACTACATATTGAGAGAGAAGCCGTTTCTGCCTGTAGTAGTGATATTAGCAAGCTGGCATGGAGTTGTTGATCCACACTTCTTCTTAGACTTTGGAACCTTCATAGGGAAGAGAAGAAGAATATTTTTTCATCTGGTTTCTTCTTTCTAGAAAAGCTTTCTTGCTATTAACTTTTTAGATAGAGGATTATTGAAGAGAAAAAGTAAACAAGAAGAGTAAAATATAACTGCTGCTAAGTGAAGCAGATGTTTTTAAAAAAAGTTTTGAAGTTTTATTACACTCAAAATATAAAGTTTTGAAGAAACATTTCTTTGGAAGTGGTAGTCAGTGATCTACAGGAAAGAGTTTTTTTGGTTAAATTATGTATGTATACTTTATTAAATATACAGTATATATATATATTATATTGAAAAATATATTATTAAAATTAAGTTTTTATCTAACTCACTCATCTCTATTTTAAAATTTTATTAAAACTCTAAATATAATTTTGAAAGTGATTTATTATTCTATCAATAGTTTAGATAAATATTTTTTTAGCTATTAACTTTATTGTTTACAGATTATTATCTAGATTACTATGTAATATTTTAATAAAACTTAAAATCTAATCATTTTATTTTATACTCTACTTTTTTTGTTAGAATTTTTTAAAGACTTTCATCTTTTAGTTTTCAGCTTTAGACAGTAGTTCTCTTCTTTCTAAGTATAAAGTTTTTTTATTCAAAAAATATAAAAATTTTTTTGTCTTGTTCTTTTTATCAATCCTTTGTGTTTGTTTTTATTTAATTTCTTTTTTGTATCACTTGATTCAAACTTTTTTTCAAATTTGATTACAAACTCTTTTTTACATCTTTATTATCCACTTTCTTACTATTTTTTCTATATATTTATCTTGATATTTTAGGTCTACCATTTATAAAATAAAATTATTTTTAATAAGATCAGTATAAAAACTTAAAATATTTTAACT